AAATGCAAAATTAATACAATAACAATTTAGAAACAATATCTTTTATTGTTTATGAATGTTATCTCAATTTAAAGTTCAAAACTTTGCACACAAATGAAATGTGTGGAATTTTACAAGATGTGGGTACCCTGTGGTGATCGTTGTTGTATTTTAAGAAGTTTGACTCTTAATTTCACAATGTTCCACCACACGAATTTTTGCGAATTTTTAGTATGTTTGCTAGCTGGCATTTATCTTTCATTCTGAAGTGAAAAACATTCTTTTACAATTTGTTTGAACTCGACCCAAAAAATTTCACAGGATGACTGGACTATTAGGTCTAGAGTTTAAGCCTTCTGGGAATACACAGACTTGGCCGACTCAAATCAAAGAGAATGCAAATTTGTAGGTCTATTGTTATGAAGACATTTTTTCGTGCTTTCGTTTGTTTTTAGAAATATCTCTGCGATGACAGAATGTTGTCAACTAAAAACAGCGGTCGCCCGCTTTGAATGGGAAAAACGCTTACATTTACAGCTACAGTACTTACCCGCTTATAAGAACCTGCAATTTAAGAACCTGTTAGCCTAAAAATATCAATTTAGACCCCATTTACATAAGAACCTATTTAGCCTAAAATTTGAAAAAGGTTTTTATAGAAAGGTTCCTATAGAAATTAACCTCAAAAATCGTCATGTAAAAATCATACTCAAACTATAGTGAGCTTGAACATGTATACACTTCTAAATTTGGTATAAATAATGTTTGAAAACCTTGTAGATTTTCATTACATAAGGAATAAATAAGAAGCTATATTTAATAACCTGAGTAGCCTAAAATTCCACTAACCACCATTTACATAAGAACACGTTTAAGCTAAATTTGACAAAAATGGGTTCTTAGAAGCGGGTATTAAGTRCTGTATAGTATAGCCACTCTGAATCTACTAAAGCAATGTTGTCTTGCGGATAAACCGGTATATCTCGGTACTCTCATATATGGAGGGGGTATGATCGTCGTATCATTGAGAGGTCTAAATCAGGGATCGGGTATCTTTAGGGTTTACATACAGTCAACTCTCTCGTAAGCGACCACTTCGGGATCAGGAAAAAATGGTCGGTATTTCATTTGTTCCTGGTTATGATAGATCAGACAATTTAGCAAAATACGTTATAAACCTTAGGTTGAAAGTACAGTTTGAACGACCACTCTAGTAAGCGACCATCTCCCGTAAGCGACCACCTTTTAATTTCCTTTTTTTTCAGTTTCCCATATGAACACTGTAAAAAAAAATCAATTCTCGTAAGCGACCATCTCTCGTAAACGACCATTTTTTTTCCTGATCCCGAGGTGGTCGCTTACGAGAGAGTTGACTGTAACTGCAATGCCCGAGAACGGTTGCCGGTCGTTTCGATCCAAAGACTCTCGTCAAGGACTCTAACACTCACAAGTCTGGTTTGAAACAAGCAACAATAATACAGTCAACTCTCTCTTAAGCGACGACATCGGAATCAGGAAAAAGTGGTCGYTTACGAGAAAGTTTTTTTACAGTGTTTATATGGGAAACTGAACAAAACGGGAAATTTAAAAGGTGGTCGCTTACCGGAGATGGTCGCTTACTAGAGTGGTCGTTCAAAGAGAGTTAACTTTTTTGGACTTAAAAACATTTAAACTTAAACAACTATTGGTATTTTAAAACATTTATAAATATACAAACTTATATTTGAGTCTTCTGTACAATTTGAGCGCGAAACACGCAAAGTGTTGTTACTCGACTTGCCGTGTTGCTGTGGTGTTATTACACCGTGACTGTGTATACGCTATACAATTACAAGTTCAAAATAAGTTCAAAATTGAAAATCATTTTCTAGTGAAATACTGTTAATATTAGAGCATGTTATACAATTTGAGCCGGCAAAACATCCTAACTGTTTTCACCGAACTAAAGTTTCTAGGTTCCGTGCAGTCTTACTGTGACTCTGTATACGCTAATCACGTTTAGGCTTTTGGGTACTGAAAAACATTTCCAAATGAAATACTTTTAATAGTTAACATTAATAATAGAACATTTTATACAATTTGAGAGGAAAATAGGACAATGTCATATTATAGTTTTAAACTATGGGTTAAACTAATGATCATATTTTAGCGTATGGTTCGACTTTCATATTATTTGGCTGTTCCTAAAGGAGCTATTTTGAGTCTTTAAGAAGACTCAATCTTTTCGCCAAGCACATAAGCAATGATTCTTCATATCAAACTCAGCCTCAACCAATAATTCTTCATATCAACTCAGCCTCAACCAATAATTCTTCATATCAAACTCAGCCTCAACCAATAATTCTTCATATCAAACTCAGCCTCAACCAATAATTCTTCATATCAAACTCAGCCTCAACCAATAATTCTTCATATCAAACTCAGCCTCAACCAATAATTCTTCATATCAAACTCAGCCTCAACCAATAATTCTTCATATCAAACTCAGCCTCAACCAATAATTCTTCATATCAAACTCAGCCTCAACCAATAATTCTTCATATCAAACTCAGCCTCAACCAATAATTCTTCATATCAAACTCAGCCTCAACCAATAATTCTTCATATCAAACTCAGCCTCAACCAATAATTCTTCATATCAAACTCAGCCTCAACCAATAATTCTTCATATCAAACTCAGCCTCAACCAATAATTCTTCATATCAAACTCAGCCTCAACCAATAATTCTTCATATCAAACTCAGCCTCAACCAATAATTCTTCATATCAAACTCAGCCTCAACCAATAATTCTTCATATCAAACTCAGCCTCAACCAATAATTCTTCATATCAAACTCAGCCTCAACCAATAATTCTTCATATCAAACTCAGCCTCAACCAATAATTCTTCATATCAAACTCAGCCTCAACCAATAATTCTTCATATCAAACTCAGC